GAGTAATTGCTTTTTTGGCGTAAGTATCATTCTGTGGATTACAGTGTGCTTTGTGATCAGGGCTTGAAATATTTTTTTTGTCCATAAGGCCACACTAATTTTATTTGTTAGTCCTTTTTTTTTTCAGAAAAAAATATGAAGAAAAAAATAGGTCACATTGAAAATTACCTGCACTGTACATATGTCACCTGCGCCACTCAGTATTCAGGAAGTCTGGATTGTAAAAAAAAACTGACCAGAAACTGGTGCTGTTATTTCTTATTTGACAAAATTAATACGAGTGTGTGTACACTGTATGGTATACACATTTTCAAATATTTCAATGTACTAATGTATTATATTTCATGTAGCTGTAAGAAGGTTGAACATTGTTCCTTTTTCGACTTCCAAAAAATTTGTCTTCACTTTATTTGCATATCAATCAATAGGTTGTGCTTATAAACCTGTTTTCCCCTCTGGTCTCTCAGTCACTGACGAAAGCTAGTGGATACTAGCTGAAACGTCTGACGTTTTCAAAATCATATCCAGTTGCTTGAGTAACTGCTTTTTGGCGTATCGTATTACCTGGATGTCTAACCTTCATCGACGAAGGTTGAACATTGCTGTTTTATTTCATTGTCAAGATGTGAAAATTTATATACTATGTATCTTTTCACTGTTTCACTTTTGCAAGGCTAATTGTTTTCTTTTTTGCATGGCTTTACAGATAGCCAGGCTAACTTGGTGGACTCGACACAGCACCGTGGAGTATTTGGAGGAAAACCCTGATGAATCCGCAGAGACCACATCCCCCAGCCCTCCCCTGGAACTCTCAAGGCTAAACGGAACTGGTCTGAGCGACTTAAGTATAGCACAGGAGATGTCAGAAAGTGGTAATGTCAACCAACCTACTGTGGCAAAAAGAACTGATGTAAACATACTAACCAATGGTGAGGAAAATGTCACATGTTTTTGCACAACTGCAATGCTGAGTTTTGCACGCAACCTTGCAGCTGTGGTTCAAGGTGCACCTGCACTTGTTCTAGATATGCAGTGCTTATGAAAGAACTACAAATGCATGAACATGGCAAGTATTATATCCTTGGTGCTGAATAACATTCACACTGACACAGCTATCCCGTGTGGCCTCTTTACTGCCATAGCTGTCATTGGTGCTGAATGGCATTCACACTAACATAGCTATCATCTGTGGCATTTTTAAAGTCATGGCTGTCCTTGGTGCTGAATGACATTCACATTGACACAGTTTTTTGTTTGGCATTTTTACTGTCATGGCTGTCCTTGGTGCTGAATGACATTCATGCTGACACAGTTATCCTGTGTAACAACTTTACTGCCATGGCTGTCCTTGGTGCTGAATAGCATTCACACTGACACAGCTAACTTGTGTAACATATTTACTGTCATAGCTGTCCTTGGTACTGAATAACATTCAAACTAACAAAGCTATTATCTGTGGCATTTTTAAAGTCATAGCTGTCCTTGGTACTGAATAACGTCCAAACTAACATAGCTATCATCTGTGGCATTTTTAAAGTCATGGCTGTCCTTGGTGTTGAATGACAATCACACTGACACAGCTATCCTGTGTTGTATCTTTACTGTCATGGCTGTCCTTGGTGCTGAATGACATTCACATTCACCCTGATATAGTTTTCCTGTGTGTCATCTTGACTGTAATGACTGTTCTTGGTTCTGGATGAAGGAAACTTTTACTACATACTACTTTGATAGACCTTCTTCAAACCCAATGCTACTGTTTCAAATGCCTCTATTTTCCTTGTCTTAGGTCCATGGTATAAAAGACTGTGGAGGGCCATGCTTGGACTTGAAGAGAGCCAGACAAGCAAGGAACACCAACCAAGCAACAAGCATGTGTTACACGAGACCAGGAGAGACCAAATCATCCTGAACATTGCAGCAGTCACTGCCTGTGTTACTGTGACTATCCTGTGGATTTACTTCCGATAATACAGAATCTGTAGGACTGTATTTCTGTTAGGACTCCTCATGTAACCCACATATTGTTACTCCAGACATGTAACTCATATGTTATATATATTGTCTTACCCTGACCTTTTTCTTCATGACCTCAATGAAAAGCGACCAGCAGGCTGATTTGAGTTTCTCATGAATAAACAAAAGCTCAAACAAACAATAACTTATAGACCATTTCTTGCCAGTGGCCAGAGACCATTAATATATAGTTTTTCTCAGATTACTGCTTACTTTTGTAAGACTAGTAGAAGGATAGAATTAGGAGCTAGACTTGAGCAATGCAAGGATTATCACATACGGGTCAGGCAAAGAGAAATAAGACTTCAATATTTATATGAAATGTAAGATAATACTGCCTGTGAGCTGTCTGATCTATTTTATGTTTTTCTCAAAATGAAATGGATTATTCTAATTTGTTTCTTGGTGGAGGGGTGTCAAATTCAAACTCCTTTTGATTGAGGAACTTAGTACATGTAGTAATACTCATGCCCCATGAGCCGACAAATAAAAGGTTATGAAATTACTATTCTGCTTCTGTAGAAAATTCATGCATCGATTCTTTATTCAAAATATAACTTTGACTTGTTCCTAATGAATGATGATTATGTTAGCCGAGTAGGTGTTGAGGAATATCCATAGATGGTTACATCATAACATGAGATTTAAATTGACATTAACTAAGGAACCAGGGTAATAAAAAGATTGTCATAAAAGTGTTGCAATAAGAATTAGCAGTTCTACAATCATCATTCTGATAAAATTATCTCAGCATCTTGAGATCAGTAAGTATGTCTTGGCTAATACTTACTTAGTAGTTTCTTGGCAAGAGTAGCCTTAAAGAAGTAGTACAGTAACTACACATTCAGATGTAATTTCTAGGAATCCTGTTGCTCGAATACTGCTTCTGATAACTTCTAAATTATTTTAAGACTCATAGATCTATTTAATTCCTTTCTAAAGGTATACACAATGTTACAGTACTGATTTTACTTTTGTTTCTTGCCCTAAAAAAAGGCTAGCCTGGTTACCAGACCTATTATAGCTCCCAAGTCCTCTTACAGACTCTCCGCAAATAGGTCTATTTGCGGAGAGGCTGTAGGACTAACCAGGCTAAAAAAGGCTACTTGCATACTGCCCTATCCTCCCACATTATATCTTGCTAAACTCCATACAGTCCCAGCTGAAGCGCCTAGCCTTGTTACACCTGCGCCATGGGCGGGGGATAACAAACCTGTCAGATAACCAGTTTGAAGGTGTTTCTTCCTCCTGGTGCTTGGCCCTGTAGTACAGCCAGAGAGTGTAGGCTCCCAGTGCAAACAGACTGGACAGGAACACTGACAGCTCAACGGCCATCATAGCCACAGCATGCCTGTCAAAGTCTAGGAGACATAGGAAACAAAACATATTACACTTTGTAAATCAACTTTCATGCTGCTTTCTCTGCTTAGCACATGTGTAATATATAATTTGAACACACACCACTACAAGTAGGCTAGACCCCTAAACTGTAGTGCTTGCCCAGCTGTGTGGCCCAAGGGCTATAAAAATGGTGATATATACCATATGGTGTGGGAAGGATTTAAAAAATTTAACTAAACTTAATCTGGCTTTAGGCAAAGGGCATACCATGTGTTTTATCATTAAACATAATATAGTACAATATCACTATACATTATACAGAAAGTTGTTGGGAAAGCTGTGTTTTGTATTTAATTTAAGCAACTCTTCAAAGTTAATAAGATGGTATCAAGTTGAATTTAAGTTTAGCTGACCTTCGGTGTGTGTGGCAGGGATTTGGTGGAATTTTGAATCATCTTCTTCATGCATTTGTTTTCCACCACTTTCTTGACTCATCCTTGTGTTGTTTTCAACTGCTTTTGTTGGGACTGCATCCTCTTGGAAGGACATCAGAGTGAGGTTGCTTTTCACATCTTTGACCAATGACATGTTTCCTTCTTCTTTCAGCTGGGATGTGTTACCTTGCACGTCATTGGATGATGGGGAGCCAGGTGCAGCTGGACTGTCACCATAGCTGTCAATCAAACTGTCATCCAGTTCAGACGCAAGCGCAGACTTTTGCCCTTCAGATGACACAGGTAGGTCTTCTTCCTCTAATGCCAATGCGATGCTGCCATCCTCTTTAGTTGTTGTTGAAGACTTGCTAGCTTTTGCTGTGGCTGCCGCGTTCTTTGCAATGAAATCCAAGTATTCACCATTATTCTGTAACCAATTGTCATTGTTCATGTCTTGGGTAGAGATAGTTGGTTCAGCAACTTCCTCCATTTCTGACAATTTGTTGTTCTCAAAATTGTCCTGGCTGCTTGCATAGGATTTCATATTGTCGTCACTGCCAAGGTTTTGGGAAGTGCCAACGTCTGTTGACGCAATGCCATCATCTTCTGGCAGGGTAGACTGAACTAGTTCTTCAATTTCAGAGGGCCACTTGGCGGGGCAAACTACATCTAAATTTAGAACAGGACAGAGTACCAGTTGAACTATAAACAATAAACATGGTGGTGACAATCACTCAGCTTGAAAGTTTTGTGGGAGCCATTTTTGTGCAAATTGTGTATCAGATGAACCATTGTGCATCTACAGAATCATTGATAATCTTACTTTACATGGACCATTATATATAATGTTGTTTTCTCACCCTTTGAGGTGGAAAAATTAATATAATAATTTGCTTTAAAGAAATTAGTAGGCTACTATGTGGGTATGTTACTTCTCTGAGTTACAGCCCAAAGCTTGTAAGTCACAAAGATGCACTGTTTGATTTTGAATCCAACCATCAAGGTTCAAGTAAAATATATTCAGTACAAGAAATTTTACTCTTGAATGCTAGATTTGTTACCAGTATGATACAATATTGCTGTAAGAGTTACCTATGAGGTTTTCGTCCCCTCCTTGTTCCAGAAAGTTCAGGACACATGAAGGGTCTACTGTTATGTCCATAAAATCATATTCATCACTAGAAAACAGGATGTAGAAAGCATGTGAATTCAAATCTTGAAAAAACTGTAAAATCAGATGCCTGTCAGATACTTTGGGTCACAGAATATTGGACAGAGGTATCCACCTAATGAAAAAAGAGCTCAAGAAAAGTACACAATCATGCAGTTGTAGTTTACAGCCTCTTATTTTTTATTTTATTTTTTTATGACGATTCACCACATTTGTGGAAGGATTGACATAACAGGTGACTATCACCTTTTCAAAGATGTCAACCCCGAGACCAGACTGTAACGTTTGAACCACTCACACCGGGAAGGTCCCCTACTCTTTTCGATAAGTGCGGTGGGTTCTTTAACGTGCGTGGGGTGTGGCTCTCCCCAAACACGGGACCTCCATTTAACGTCCTATCCGAGGGACGTCCCTAGCCAAAGCTAGGTACTCATTTACACCTGAGTGAAGTGAGGAAAGTCGTGTAAAGTGCCTTTCCCAAGGGCACAAGATCGGTGACGTGGGCAGGGTTCGAACCCGCGACCTCTCGGGTGTGAGCCGAACGCGCTACCGACTGCGCCACACGACCCCACGGGCCTTCAGGGGCTGAGGGTGGACCCCCTTAGAGACTTGAAAGGCACCAGGAGCATGATTTTTGATAGTTTGTCTTTCTGTGAGTCAACTAAGAAAGTTACTGCAACAGATTAAGCAAAAAAAAAATGTTTAATTTGTACCACCATTGGTATTTTGACACTTTATATTCATTGAATTAGAGAAGTCAGAGTTGAGAATATACACTGTGTTTTAATATTGTACGTGGTGACATTACATACATGTAATATCATTTAACCTTCTCCATACTCCATAACCAATAGAGAATTGTTAGCCAAACAGCTACATCAGTGTGCTGAAGGTTAAAAAACATTGCAGGAGGACCCCCTGACTTTTACTTACTCAAAGAAGGGTATGTCATACTCCATAGACTCTGTAACATTGCCTGTTACTTCAGTTTGGTCCTCCCCACTGTCAATCAAGTTGCCAGTTTCTGTAATCCAATGTTTGATAATTAGTTTAATGGTGTTATATGATGGTAGGTAAGTTTGAATGATGATTTTAGTGTACAAATAAGAAGTTTAAGGACATTTTAGTCATATTGAAACTGTCCCCTTCACCTTAAAATGCGTTGGTGGAAAAAGCAGACTGAACTGCTTTTCTTGCCGATTGGACTAGACTGATTTTTATACTGAAGGGTATAACCCCCTTAAACTAGGACACTCTTTCAATAGTAATAACTTTAAAATAGGACACTCTTTCATTAATCATAATTGTTTGCAAATTATTTTTTTCAAGCATGTGGTACCTGTTTGGAAAACTGTTAGACATCCAAGTGATTTCATGTTATTCTGCCAAACTGTGACAAGTATGAAATACTGTATCTATAAATGCAAACTAAAGCAAAAATCTTAGACTACATGATCATTTTTAGTTTACAAATAAGAACTTAAACTGTACCCTTTACTGTCTATAATCATAACTTTGAAATAGGACACTCTCTCAACAGTCATAATTGTTTGGGAATTATAGAAACATTCACACATGTGGTACTATAGGAAAACTGTTAGAAATCCAAGTGCACTTATTTCATGTTACTCTGCTGAACTGTGACACTACGTAAGTATTAAATATCTATATATATAATGCAAACTAAAGCAAAAATTTTAGACTACATGAGATATGAAGTGCCTGTCGGATTTACCTGTGAATCCGGAGACCCCAGATGATGGAACATGAGACAGAACGTTCAGACAAACTAAGAAAACTGCCATGTACATGTATGCCATGATGTGCCAAACTACTGAGAGCCTTGCGTGCTGTCCAGTATTTGGTGTAAGAACTGAAGCACACACCTGGTAACTCAATGATGTCAGGTATGTGTACGAAAATAAACAATGATTCTAGATAGAGTGATGCAACTGTTTTGAGGGGGCAGTAAAAGCATCAGATATTCTAAAGTTAGTGTACTAAATAAATTTCACTTCAATGTATCACCCAACACAATATTGTAAATAAAACCATTAAGACAAACTCATACTGTGGGTAACATGTTAAAATTAAATGTTCTGGCTACCCTTAAAAGTATACACTTCTGTCTATACACATCATGCTCTGCTACACAACAACATTCAATTGTCAGTACTAATTAGTGTAAACAGGCCCTGTATGTGATGTACACAAAAACCATTCACTCTACTTGTAGGTTTCCCACAGTTACTTGCAGAACTTTAAATTACTTTCCAAAATAAACTGAATCCCAAAAGACAGCAAGTTGCAGTAAATGTACATTTTTGGCTTGTGTATATAAGTACATGTAGCTAAAATTGATTTTGTGATTTTTTAAATCACTGCATTGGGTAAAACGTTGAAAATAAGGAAACCAAATGTTAATATCCTTGACATTTGAGACTTGTCTGTTCCAGATACATTTATTCAATTTGATAAAAAAGGAAATTGTTTTTATTACTTTTTGGTATGACAATTTTTCCTAGCAGACTCATTAACCTAACTTCCTGGTATACAATTCAACAACACATGTTTTTCCATGTCTTGGCAAGTCAATGCTTATTATGATAATGCCCTTGGGTTAGTGCAACAGGATTGGATAGAATCGTTATGAAAGCTACACAGGGAACAGGATTGGATAGAACTCTTATGAAAGCAACACAGATGCATTCTGATTGGTCCAGCAGCAATGAACATATTAAAGCCAGCACTGCATTTATAACTTGCAATTTGATCTACTAGTATATATCATATTGCTCACTTTGTCAGGTTTGTGTGTGGCAGCTATTCGTGCAACGTGTCACACAAGGAAAGAGTGTAGCTTTGTTATTCACCTTATTTATAGACAGTCATCATCACCAGTCAAAGCTTTAGAGTCTGAGACGCACAGCTCCAGAACATTCAAGTTCTATCGTCATCGGTTACCACTGAGGAAGGACCAGTATGGAGAGGCCTAGCTGTATCCTTTTTATCTGTTGTATTATTGGTAATGCCTCGTCAGCACTGGACCTTGGGGTGTGCACCGTACGACCGAAGGAAACATGTATGCCTGACAGTATCAAGGTTCGTGAGACTCTGTCTTATTACCGTAACATAACTTGCATATTCTGCAAGAACAAAGAGCCTGGCAATCGTGGTCCTGAAAACTTTGCTTCCGTGCAACTTTCACCAAAAAATTCCTTCCCAGATGCCGAGTGGATCGCCTTGCAAGGCGTTCGAATTGGGAAAATGACATCAAAAACTCTACAAACATTTGACACTTCTTCATTGATAGTCATTGCCCTGGTACGCGCAGGAATCAGCACAATTGAAAATCGAGTCTTCAAAAATTTTCCAAATCTAAGATCCATGCATCTCGATTATAATATCTTGCCCCAGCTAAAGCGTGCTTGGTTCACCGGTTTTGATGGTCTAAGACAAAGTGGACAATTTAGTGTTGACTTGACGTTCTCAAATAACCGCATTACCAAACTAGAGCCTGGCTGTTTTGAACAAATCTTCAGGCATCTTTACCTGTTAGATTTGTCCAACAATCTGCTGACAGAGGTTGCGAGTGATTGGTTTCGTGGCCTAGCCTTCCTGAGAACACTGAATCTGAGTTACAACAGAATCAAATTCATTTCGGAAAGTGCCTTCCATTCTTTTGTTGAGCTGCAAGTCCTAGACTTGAATCGAAATCCTCTGACATGCCTGAGCTGGAAAACGCAACTGGGGCTTCACCTAAGAAATGTCAGCTTTGGTCAACTATATCACGAGACAGGATGGAGTCTAACACTGGAAAAACGTTTTTTTGGGACAGCACAGCTAGCAAAGGTTCAACTCAATAACTTGATTTTTTGTCTGCAATATGAACGAGAGACAAAAGTGTTTCAGCTCAGATGGCATTATACGGAAGAGCTTCGCTTCTATAACTTCTTCTGGAAAAAAGAAAATGAGTGTAAACCAATTCTACAGTCAATTTTTTTCGGGCCCATTAAAACCCAAGAACCTGTTGTGGCCATTGCTGCTTCGGCAAATCGAACTGTGTCACACAACAAGAAATTTTACAGTCTGTGTCCTAAAGCTTGGGATGCTAGACATGACAGGGTATCTTTGACATTCACAGGTGATATTGGCTTGCAGGTTGTCCTGGTGAATGTGAGTAATACAGACATGGACAGGGGTTATCTTAATAGTGGTATTGCCTTTGTATCCAGCCCTGAAAATGAACATGGCTCAACGCAAAGCCAAGGAAAAAGCAAAAGTAGTGATCAACAAATACCTAGTCGAGAGCCTGGTATCATCATGGGAAATTACATGTGCAGTGTATTTTTCGCTGACTGGGGATTTTTACCTCCGAAATTGTTTCATGGTATCAAGAGACCTGTCGATTCAGAGTGTCCTGCTTCAAAAAATTCTGAAGACTCTCAAGATACAGAATTCAACAAGAACAAGTCTTACAGTCATTCCAATATGTCTGACACAGAAAACATTACAAGGTCGACCACCTTGACAAAATTCGATTCCACTATTAACTTTGGTTTTACTTCTCAAAACAACCCAGATACAGAGCAGAACAGGGCTAATGCATATCCAACAAAATCAGATCTCAATGTGATCACCTCAGTTCAACCGAATGTCACATTGCAAACTTCTGAGAAATTGGCCTTTCCATATATCCCACTTGTGATTGGTGTTTCATCTAGTTTGCTCATAATCATAATCATAATGGTTATCATTTACAAGATTAGACGTGCAACTAACAACTGTAATAATGCTCAAAATGCACCAAATGCAACAGGTGTTTTAAATGCTACTAATCCGAATATTGATGTAACAAATCTCATGGCCAATTCATTGTATACAAAACCCAAAGAAGACCCTTCTGTGCATCATACCTACACTGATATTAAGGATGAAGATGTTTATGATCCATCTGTGCATCATACTTACACTGATGAAGATATTTCTGGCCCTTCTGTGTATCATACCTACTGTAACACTGATATTAAGGATGAAGACATTTCTGGCCCTTCTGAGCATCATACCTACTGTAACAGTAACACTGATATAAAAGATGAAGACATTTCTAACCCTTCTGTGCATCATACCTACTGTAACACTGATACAAAGGATGAAGATGTTTATGACCCTTCTGTGCCCCACACCTACACTGATAGATGAAGGATGAAGATATTTCTGGCCCTCATACTTACTGTAACACTGATATTAAGGATGAACTTCAAGATATTTCTAACCCTTCTGAGCATCATAGCTACACTGATATTAAGGATGAACTTCAAAACATTTCCGAACCATCACAACTACACTCTGGACAGCAATAAGGCACAAAACAACCTACTAGGCAATTCCAAAGATCTCCCTTCAAAATTCAACAACTGCCGCAGTTAAGTGATTATACAACTCCGAAGAGTAACAAATAGTTGTCAACAGTCCACCTTGAGACTGCTAAGTCATTTCAGGCCTGAGGAAGGTTAGCAGACAGGCTACCAAAACTTAGTGTCAAAGAAGGAAAAGTGTTGTGGTGATGCTGGGAGAAATGTTGTGCTGAATCGTATGGACATTAGGAAACAGTTTCAGTTCATTGAATGGAATGAAGACTTTGGCCAGAAAGTAAGTGTTGGTCCAAAGATAAACATTTGGAGACAGCTGGAGACAGCTACTGACTCAGATGACAGACATGTTTTGAAAATGCCTGAAAAAGTAGAGCAATTATGTACAAATGTTTGTGAAATCTGTGGATGTAATTACATTAAGCTCTGATTGTAAAGTACATGTAATGATATAATTGTTATGTAACTACGTATGTTCCTGTGGAGCAAAATGAAATGAAAAAAAAATTTCTGAGCATTTGCAATTTGTAAAATATTTCTTTATTCAGTTCAGTTCTACATTACACTAAAGTGTTAAGTTAAATTGAATTCACTGCAACCTGACGTAGGGGTCATACAACACAATTTCTAGGTTTGTTCAATTGTAAAATTAGTCTTCAAAATAGATCATTAAACAAAATCAGACACTGTATCCATACTTCAAAGATTTAAAATACTTAATGTGCTAACCTGTGTTTGAGGTTTTAAGGAATGAGTTCTGAATCAGAACATGTAAAATAAATTTAGAGTTTCCGTTTTAGATTTTTGTAGAAAAACAACTGCCTGAGTGAGCATATTAGCCATGGGTTGGGCACATTAAGTATATGGTACTTAAAGTTAGTATGATACTGAAAATATATTTGTTTATTGTTTAATGTTCAATACAATTTTATGGTCTACTACAAGGAATGAGTTGAGTGTGGTTTTTAAGTCTTGTTGACTGATTCAAACATTTGATATCAACTTTTCAATATCTATCAATATATTAGTCTTACTAGAAAATAGATTCTGAAGAAAATAGACATCTAGTACAAAATACATGCAAACAAGACATTCAAATACTATATACACACAAAGAGTGGGAAAACAATTTACTAAATACTAAAAATCTGATGCAAGTTGTAGCTCACTATTGTACACACAGTACATGATATCGAAAGATTCTGCGCAATAAACTAAAGATTGAGAGCTAGCATGAGGGAACTGAGAAGTGTAAGCTCTCTGACGGTGACTTGAACTCCAGCTGAAGTCTCGTTCCCCCACGGTCCACCTTCCTCGCCAATTATCGTGGGGCGTTCGGTAGGGTCGGGAACAGTCGCTGTTAACAACAAATATTGCAATTTAATTTCTATGTAATGTAATATTATTGTAATCATGGAAGTTGAGGTAGCATGTTCAACTTAGTAGAATGTAATTGAATGTAAAACCCAGATTTTCAGTTTTCGTTGGCTGTTTGGTCAATGTTGCATCAGAATTTTGCCTGTTGCACTGACATTATCTTTCCCCACACAAACTATACATTTATGGCCTATAGGCAAAATAGACCTTATATGAGACCTTCCCTCAAAGTGCTATGCACAATATTACATTACGGGTTTTGGGCAGGTGAAAAGTTTCAACTAACCTTAAATGGTGTTGTATCATATTATACCAGATGGTTGTCATAATTTATCATTGAGATTAATAAATATGTAGTACTACGTCAAATACTTAGTTGGTCTACATTTGTCTTACCTGTATAAGTGGCGAAGAAGCCCATGTCGTTCAGAGTCTCATCTGACATAAACTCCACAATCATGGACCCGTCAGTGTGGATGTCGACAGGCTTGTTCCACCCACAGTACGTACCTGCAACAATTAGGGCAAAGAAAAGCAAAGTAACCAATGAGATTTTCATGTACCCAGTGTTAAGTTAAGCCCCTGTACAAATTTCCTAGGACCTTCCCCCAACATTACCACCTGGCACCAGCCAACCTTGTTGTTTGGGAGCAGTCTGGCCAGATTTAGGCCACACCTACCCAAATCAAAACAGATTTGAGTTAAATTTGAGTCAAATTTGACCCCTGAATACACCCTGCTGACATATTCCCAAATGGTTGACTTGTGTTGTGCTAATATGATGGGCTTAACTGACCGAAAATTTTAACATATTATTGATCAGTATGTGTTGAAAATTTAATTTTCTTTAATTAAATTCAATTTAAAGATCTTAAGTGACCAAATTTTTATAAAAAGATTTGAACGCAAGACGTTTTATTGATGACTGACTAGAGCTTACCTATGAGTGATTTTCTGCCCCTGGAAGCCTCGTACACGGCCAGGTAGTCATTGGTGTTCCCAGAACAATCGCTGAAAGGGCCGCCCACCTGGGGGAGGGAGTAACAAGAACAGAACAGCAGATAAGACAAATTGACACCTTTTACTCTTTGTTAAGTCATCATTTCTTTAGGCAATCTAAAGAAATACAAGTTCAACCTTTGCCCACGTTTGTCCCACCTGGGGAGGGAGTAACAAGAACGGAACAGCAGATAAGACAAATTGACACCTTTTAAGATAACTTTAATACCCAACAATTTCATTTGTGAACAAAATGTAACAGCTTAATATAAAATTACATTTTACAGCAATTCTAGAAAAGTCATTTATTTTTAAGCACAGTGAGCCTTTGATGGAATTTCTCAACACTTAAGACACTTAAAGGGGGCCAAAACTAATTTTTTTCTGCCCACTGCGGTATACTTAAGTATACCAAAAAGTACAATTCTTACTTGTTTTACATTACATTGTAGTCCATGATAGATTAGCATTTTTACCGAATACCTTTAGATATAAAACGCACTGTTCAATATTTACAATGCTCAGGGATTATCACAATATAAAATGCTTTCACACTTAACACAAAGTATCCCCACAGTTATTACCTGAAAGCTGTGGAAGGAGAGGGTGACATTAGTGCCGACTATCTCCCACTTGCAGGCAGCACCACTGCTGTAGCTTGTTGGGAAGTTAACCGAGGCTAGTGTCCCAGTCGGGCTGGTCAGAAGGGCCAGGTTCCCACAGCCTGAGTTCAGCTCTAAACACAAAGGAAACATATTTTATATAGTCAGTAAAGGTTAGACATCTAGGTAATAAGAAAAGCCAAAAACAAGTTACTCATGACAAGTAACTTCCCAAATCTGTTGAGTTTTTTTTTTGCGCATTAAGTTCAACATTGCATTTTATGGGAAGATAATGCAGTATATCAATTTAGAATGATTATGAAATGATTCTTTCAAAGCATTTAATGTCCAGTTTCTCGTAAAGTTTGACATTCAGCAGCCCAAAATCCAATCTTAACTAGAGTTCCACGATCTCATACCTTCGCCAAATGAAGTTAGCCTTTATGAATAAGAAATTATATATTAATCCCCCTGATTATGCAAATAGGATCCTCAATTGCATGAATTATATCTGTTGATCATATTCTACACCAAAAGACAGTCTTATCTTAACAAAGAATGGCATCATAGCATTTCCTCATAAATTATGCAAATGTGGTCCATATTTGAGTAAGTTATGTTTAATTATGTTCACCTTCACTTAACTTTCAAACACCCCAAGTATGAAATTCCAGGCAGTTACCACCATGCAATTATAACATTTTCTCATTAATTATGCAAATTAAGTCTTCATTTGCATAATCAATATCTGCCTGTGTTTCTCTCGTTCTTAATAACATATGTTACAAGCTTGGACTTCCAATAATGGAATGCAGCTGATTTAGAGAATTTCCTCATTAATTATGCAAATTACATTCATATTTGCATAATTGTAATGTCATTATGTCAAGCATTACTTAAGCTACCTACATACCAAAATTCACGATGATCCATCAATCGGTTCTTGAGTTATCCTCCTTTAAACATTTGTCCTTTAACCCCCCCTGCAGTTCTAGAGCAAGCAACAAGGGGGCTCAAACTCATGTCACTTTATCCCCAGCACAAGAGCTATCTACCATCCAAATTTGGTTACCCTAGCTTGTCTGTATCATGAGATATCAAAACCGGAAGTTCTGCTGCAGTACCATGACAAGCCGCCAGGGGGCCCAAAATCTAATCATTTTGAGGTCTCATCAAGACCTACCCAACTACCAAATATCAAGTCAGTCCATTTAAGCCTTCTCAAGTTATCGTGTTTACAGACACACACACACACACACACACACATACACGAACGCCTCTGAAAACATAACCTTCTTGGCGAAGGTAATAAAAGCCAGGTTCAATAAATGCTGGCACAAAAATACTGATCAGAAGGTTTTTATGATTCTTCTCTTGGCTGGTAGAATATTGTGGGGAGTGGACGAAAGGTAGCAAATTGTGGGGAGCAGACGAAAGCTAAAAATGCTGACACTTTACTAGGAAAGAAAGAATTCAGGCTCAAGAATTAGGTAAAATTTTGATCCTCATGTTTTGGCATTGGTGCCTGGTAACTTACCAGGTTGGACTGCCTGGAATGAAGCGGAGAAACCGGTGAAGAGTTCGTCGTTCCTTTGCCACCTGTTCAACAGGAACTTCACGGTCATGACCTCACCTCCTGACATCATCGCAGGGGGCGGAGTCTGCCCGCAAAACCTACCTGTCAATCATAACATTTTTCCATCATGGGATTAGTTTGAGTCAATTTGTTAAGCAGTATTAACTTAATATTTATTCCCAAAAATATATTCCCAAATTGTACTCTAGAACATAGAATATAGATTAAACAAGAGTAAAACATAACAAAATACAAGATTACAAAATGTTTCAAATAAAGATGAGCAAAAATAAGACAAATTGGTGATCTTTCAATTACAAGAGTCTACATTTTTGTACCTTATTGGTCAGAAATTCATCACAGCTATCTATAAATTGTTGTTGAATATGTAAATTATAAATTTCTTGTTAATTAATTGTTTGCTGATGTGTAAGGCAATCAATATCGAAACAAACAAGACTCACAGGAGATGCCACATTGATTCAGTAAAATTTGAAAATACATACAGCATTTTGGGAGATATTTCCTAAGATTATTGTTCTTCTTACCCTTATATCTTATAATTATAAATTGTACTCTGACTTGTAAAGAGTTAAGAATTCTAGCTTACCCATCAGGTTCGCAGCCTGGTCAGTGCCGTTGTAAACTTCGATCATGTGCAGGTAACATTTCTCCGGCGCGTCGGGGAAGGGGTTGAGGTCGATGCGGTCAAAGGTCAAGAGCACGACGTGACCTTGAGGTACGGTGATGTTCCAGGTACAGTCTGAGTCGGTGGGGTAGGGGGCGGGGTAGTCGGGAGACGTGATGACGCCATGGTCTGATGTTAGAGAACCACCGCACTCTGGGAAAGAGTCTGAGTAATATGAGTAGAGAAAAGTTACCGAGATGTGTGGGAAATTATTTCCCGTGGCCCATAAATGACATTAGAGATGGCAACTCAGAAACATAGACTGTGTGATTGAATTGAATTTCTTAATTTAATGTTATAGGAGTGTAAGTTGACCACTTATGGCATTCTGGTCAGTTTCAACAGCCTGTTTCAATAATTAAAAGGAAACTCTTATGATAATGGAATGTATTGTAAAAAAGAAACATGAATTTTTTTTCAATGACGGAGTTGAAAACTTACCTGCACTGGAGGCAGGATAAGCCAAGAAGAAGAGCAGAAAAATTGTCAAAGTTGTATCGGCAACTCCCATTTTGTCCTCTGCAGAAACTGGAAAAAACATTACATTATATATACATATCTTTCATTTTGATGCATACATGATTCTAATACACATATTGCAATTAAATGATCATTGTATTTGTTTGCATCTCGATTGTTGAATATGCAAGTTGCAATATTCAAAATCGTGGGACATTAAATTGGTATTTGATCCGCAATTGATTTACTGACAGAAACACATTTCATATTAGTCACCATAATATAAAAAAAGTGCATCATAAAACATAATTTCAGTCTACATCACCGGTATGTCAATAGGAACAAATTTTTGAAATTCTGATAACATGGAAGTGTGTACTCTGCCTCAGACCAAGCAGAAAAATTTCCAGACACAGAATAATGAATTCACAGCGAACTGTTTTTGATTGTTACTAGTACAAAAATGTACCACAACCCCTGAAAACATGAATTGTGGACAGTCCCTCCCAGACCTACATGTAGATGATTAGTGTCTGGTAACCCAGCACCACTCTGATGCTACAGTAGACCGTTAGGAACACAAAGGAGACAAAAGCACGACAAGTGGCTCTCATCTGTCCAGGGGTGACCGACAACAACACCGGCGACGGTTCAAGGATTTTCTATTCAACCTCGGGACTCTAAATAGCGGATTTTGGGGTCAGAAACCGGCAAACTGTAAATATTTCCAACCTTTGGGAATGGTTTTTAGGAGGAGAGGCACCAAAAAAGTGACAAAATATAGTTTTTGTAGCAGCAGTAGATTTGTAATTCTTCTGTGACCCTTCTGTATTTCCCCACAACTTTCCCATGTTGTTTTGCTTCTATTACAACTCTTTTATTGTTCTCTGTTATTTGCATTTTTTATATCACATCAATGAAAATTTTTGCAATGAAAAGCTTAAATATGGTAGTGTCAGTGTAGTAGCAAATGACAAAAAAAATTCTGACAACCCAATACTTTGTTATGTCTGTTACAAGTAACCATATTTAACCATGAAAAGACCCAGATGTAATGGATACAGTTTGACACACAATACTAACTAATTCTTTGCCAAAAACACCATAAAGTACTTTAGGGCTTTTCCATATCCTTTCGAGAGAGAATTTCAATGCAGATGGTCTACCCTTGCTTCTACTTTCCCCTCTGTAGTTTTTGAAACAGCCCTAACAATCCTCTATGGAGAGGTTCACGCTAACCGACTCACTATTATTATAGTAGCTTACATTGAAATATATTACATCAAAAACAAGCGAGGCATTTGCAAATGTATTCTTATAAAGATGGTAGTGATGCAGTTACTATCAGAGGAAAGTTTAATCTTAAATAGACCAATGCATTGACTGTACATTTACTCAAATTCTCACTGTTAAAACCTGAGGTAAGACCTGTACATTTGAAGATGATACACCTGGATGCACCTGAGACTCACCGCACACAAAGCAACTGTCACGACACGGGTGTTGGGTATAAATGCTGGCTCTGACCAACCTCAAAACAACATGTACACGCAACAGGTGTTTTGGACCCACACTGGTGTTTTCAACAACATTAACCCCACTCTCTGAACTTACAAAATACTTTAAATGTTTTACAAATATAGACAATAGATTAAACTAGCCCAGGACAAAAAGTCCTAACAACATGTTCTGTAGAAATGTCATGATCAGCATTATTCTTCAGATACTATGATGATGAAGAATTATACGTGTAGTAACTTCTGGTATGTTAGCTTATGAGACAAAAAGACATGCAAAATGTTACATGTATAAAACTCCTGCCTATATTCAGTGAGTTCACAAAGTCTGAATTCATTGAAAAATATTACCTTTGATTCACTTCTATTCAGTTGGATGCACACAGCTCACCCCAGCCTGTACAGTTGCCTCTGTAATGCAGACAAAAAAGTCTGACTTTCCTTTATAGATCAGGCTCCTTACGACATATCCGGTGTAAGGTGTCCAAGGACGAAGCTAATCTTTCCCCAAGGTAATAAAACTGATTACTAATGTGGAAAACAGGGAAATTTGAGACAATGTCCTTCACGAAGTGCTGGTTTTGCTGTAAGACGAACCATATTGTTTACTTGGGGTAAGATCTGTGACCATATTTGGTGTGAGTAGAAAGAAACAAAATGCTGACATTGTAGATTTGATGATGCTGTTTTTCAGATGAGCAAGTCTTCCTTGGATATCAGTGAACACAGTGCTGTTCATGCTGTTGCTGACAATCCACAATATAGTTCAAGGTTGGTAATTTTATACATCTAATTGTGTACAAGACCATCAACAATAAAAACTGACAGACTCGGCTTCCTGTGGAGTTTAGCTCATCTACAAGTAGAAATTTATGACCTTACTGTACATTGCATTGGTCTTTCTAGTAGTGAGCATTTTGTCTATTCGCCTTCCTAGAAAACAAATGTTGTCATTGCTGTAAAGACATAGAAAATTACTGCAAAACCATACAAAACAAGCCAGAACCTTAGCTTCAATGTATTTGGAGATTGGATGTAGGTTTCTATACTGTGCACAATGGTGGTTATTTTTGTCAAGTTGAAAGACATTGTGTGGAAACAAACACTTGCTGCACTATGTCTACACTACTGGGGATTATCCTGTAACTGAGTGGTTTGCCCCTCGTGAAACAGGTGCAAGTCCTGAGCCCTAAAAAGTGTAGTGTGCAGCAGCTATAATTTGTATTAGCCTAGTGAAAAAATGTGATCACTCATGAGTTTTAAAAAAGAGCACTGATACACACGGCACGAAAAACGATATTTAAGCATGCTTAAATCGTGCTTAAAGGCGGCGTAATTTCCATCTTTACGCACCTTTCCGGCACCTTTCAGTGTACGTAAACATTGCCTTTACGTGGCCTTTCCGCACTACTGGAAAGATACGTATTTGCACTACTTTAGCGGTGCCTTTACGCACCTTTTATGTCCTTAAAGGCTTTGTAAACTATTCCTTTAAGCATTGTTTACGGTCCTTTTTTGGTCGGAAAGCATGCGTTTACTTAAAATTTAAGAGGTCTTTTAGCTGCCTTTAAGTCCCTCGTAAACATTGTCTTTACGTGCCCTTTCCGCACTACTGGAAAGATACGTATTTGCACTACTTTAGCGGTGCCTTTACGCACCTTTTATGTCCTTAAAGGCTTTGTAAACTATTCCTTTAAGCATTGTTTACGGTCCTTTTATGGTCGGAAAGCATGCGTTTACTTAAAATTTAAGAGGTCTTTTAGCTGCCTTTAAGTCCCTCGTAAACATTGTCTTTACGTGCCCTTTCCGTAGTACTGGAAAGATACGTATTTTCACTTTAGCGGTGCCTTTACACACCTTTTATGTCCGTAAAGGCTTTGTAAACTATTTCTTTAAGCACTGTTTACGGACAATTATAAGCTTTAAGTTGCCTTTCCGAACATTTGAATCTGTGCATAACCTTAACATACGTCGGTATATGTGAATATGATGACAGAAACAAATATGATATGAGAACAATTTATTGAGTAAAACATACAAAATACAACGATTCTTAATAAATTGTTTTAGAACAAGATGTTAGCTCATACTATATTGTCACATTACGTATCCCTCCCAAGCTGCAGATTACGTATAATGAAAACAGTTCAAAATAATACTTTCCTCAACTAAGCTCACCAATACAAGGAATTGACTACTTGTATCTCCAAACATATATTTGATCAGCTCCCTCGTATACGGCGTTTTGTAAAAGATTTCTCCTCCGTCCTCCTGGCTGTTGTCAGACGGGCCGAGCCGGGCCGAGAGTCGTGTTGTCGTCGCCGCTGCTACCGAAGCCCCTGGATTCTTTGCGACTTGGCCTCCACCAATTTCAACATATTCGAACCATTTTTTGCCTTTCCTCGCTCCACGAGATTCTGAACTTCAGCCACAATGTCTCAATTAGATGGAGGGTCGACGTGTCTTCGAAATAGATGCCATTAAAATAAGTTGAGTCCGGTAGATTTAAACCTCGCTGTGTTGTATCCCATTGGGTACCGCCCTATCACATGACACGTTCCTCATTGGGTGTCTGCATATGGATACTTTGTAAGTTCACGCGAAGGACATAAAAGGAATGTAAGTTTTGTCATGCTTCACAAATATAGGAAAATGAAAGTGCGAAGCCGGGTGGGCGATAAACTCGTATTTGTCATTTGGAGCATGGTTAGACGTTAAAAAAAAGCTACGAAACGGAACATTTGCCTTTCAGAGGCCTTTACGAAGTCGTAAAGTCAACTGAAATATTTTCTCACCTTTAATACATCTTTACATATTGCGGAAAGTTTGCTTAAATGTCTGTATACATTTACGTCGTATTTAAGCGCGCTGAAAGGTGACGGAAAGGCAGACTTTGTCTTTCAGAGGCCTTTACGAAATCGTAAAGTCAACTTAAATAGTTTCCCACCTTTAATACTTCTTTACATATTGCGGAAAGTTTGCTTAAATGTCTATATATATTTACGTCGTATTTAAGTGCGCTGAAAGGTGACGGAAAGGCGGAATTTGCCTTTCAGTGGCCTTTACGAATCGTAAAGTCAACTTAAATATTTTTCTACCTTTAATACCTCTTTACATATTGCGGAAAGTTTGCTTAAATGTCTGTTTTCGTGCTGTGACAGCAAATGAAAGGGAGTAAGAAATGTTTTAAAATATTATTCGTTTTTTTGCAAAATGTCATTGCTATAAAAGAGAAATGGGAAGCGTAAAATACTAAGTAGTCTATCAAACTACAAATAGAATGTATTTACAAACCATGCATAAAGCCCTAGTACATGGCAATCGGCCTATCCTGAACTACTGGTTTGCTGTCTGCTACCTTTCAACAGGGAAGTAACATGGCCCCGCCCCTCTTTCAACCCCTCTCTTTACTGCAGCTGTTGGTGTGAAGGATGCTTGACTCTGACCAACATTTTGAAATTTGCAAGCGATATGACTGGCAAAACCATAACGGTTTGACTTTTTCCAGCTGCCTTCCTAATACTGGTTCTGAGGTAATCACCTGTAGCTGTAGATTTGTAGGAAATGTTTTCAAAAATTATAAGGTTAAGATCATGATGATTCCATGAGTTGTGTAATGACTGAAAAACAATATCTAGGTGCACTCTGTAGTATATGACATGCAGTGTTATTGCATGTGAAGGAAAAAAGTCTGTAAAGGAAAACCTTCCTCAACAGAGGTGCTTGTTTTAGTAAGTAGAAAGGTTTTGGTCCTTTGGTAACAATATACGGCCAGTATGTCTAGTACTTTCACTCATGTACTGTGTACTGCTGTATTCTCATAAACAAATTGAGAGTTCGTAAGACTTAAAACACACTTGCCCACCAACATTTGCTAACGGCAAAACACTGAAAAAAGAACAAAGACTGAAAAATTCAAGAAAGTGACCTGTTAGTTGCTTACCTGCCTTAATGCAGTTAAGAAGCGGCTTTTCAGTCAGGTTGCAAGGGCAGGTAACGTTTCAGTTGTGAAGAGTGGGGAGTCAAGTTTCAGGGACCTACCACGTCTCATGTCAGGGGGGTGGTGCACTTTGTGGATGTGGAATACCTGCTCCTAAAGTCCAAAGTAAACACTTTTCATTGCTCTCTACACTACCTGTGAACTGCTATTATTAGTAGAGTGAAATGGAGCATCCCCAGGAATTTGCAGTTTGTCTGGGTCATTTAGGCTGGGGGGGGGGTGGCTTCATTTCGGGGTAGACATTTATACTCAATTACTAGGTAGGAATGTGACCCAGACATATAAAAAATACAGAAATATCAGAAATAATATGACAGATTAAGAGGTGTTTTTTTTAATGTATGGCTTTTTTCCTGCGACCAATTTTGAAATTCTTGCCTCATCATAGAAAAAAAATCTTTGATGAGAGAATTACAAAGGTGCGACCATTCCTGCAGTAATTGGAAGGAGTTATTAGGGGTCGCTTTTGACCCATGCACCTTCAGGTACCTTGAGATTTTTATCCTTGATACTGAGATTGCTGAAAGTGTTTCAACTTTATAACTACAAGTCATAGGAATTTGATATGTGTGGATGGCATTCAGCACTAAGGACAGTAACGTTTGGCTGTGTGGATGGCATTCAGCACCAAGGACAGGCACGTTTGGCTGTGTGAATGGTGTTCAGCACCAAGGACAGGCACGTTTGGCTGTGTTGATGGCGTTCAGCATCAAGGACAGGCACGTTTGGCTGTGTGGATGGCGTTCAGCACCAAGGACAGTAACGTTTGGCTGTGTGGATGGCATTCAGCACTAAGGACAGTAACGTTTGGCTGTGTGGATGGCGTTCAGCACCAAGGACAGGCACGTTTGGCTGTGTGGATGGCATTCAGCACTAAGGACAGTAACGTTTGGCTGTGTGGATGGCGTTCAGCACCAAGGACAGTAACGTTTGGCTGTGTTTATGGCGTTCAGCATCAAGGACAGGCATGTTTGGCTGTGTGGATGGCGTTCAGCACCAAGGATAGGAACGTTTGGCTGTGTGGATGGCGTTCAGCACCAAGGACAGGCACGTTTGGCTGTGTGGATGGCGTTCAGCACCAAGAACAGGAACGTTTGGCTGTGTGGATTGTGTTCAGCACCAAGAACAGGACATTTTGGCTCTGAATGATTCTATTGGGGGATAGCTTGGTTTTGACGGTGTTGAGCTGATAGACTTTTATCAGACCTGGTCTAAAACATTAGGTAAAGAAAAATAATCATGAGGCAGCAAATATCATTCTTGTCATTTTATTCTGATGCAGTTGTTCTTGTCCAGACTGGAGGCTCACATTGTTGTATTGATAATGGTTTAAACTTGAAAATGTTGGAGATCATATTATGTAAATATGAGTTGCATTAGTTTCAAATACAATGCAAAATTCAGAGTGCTATTAGAAGTTATGTCTGTTAAATTTATAGATGGATCCCAAAGTTTGGCATTAAAATATCAGAAGATTTAACAATTTTACTGTGAGCCGGTGTAACTGTGGTGCTGGACAGGCTTGCGTGTCATCCTCCTTTTTGTGTTGTTGCTCAGTCACAGATGCTGTTCTGGGGGAACCACCAAGCCTCGACGTTGTTCTTGTAACACCAGGCATTATTCTTGCTGCGAGCACACCTCATGATGCCAACACCTCCACCACACATCGTACTGTTGTCAGAGAAAAAATCGTTAGGAAAATGATAGGTGGTTTCAGCAATATCAAGCCATAAGAGAACAGACAAGTTGGTCGGCCTTTCTGCAAGGGACTTACTGATAACTTACACTTCAGTTTCAATCCAAACTCAAAACTCTTTGATATTTTTTAAATTTTCTAACACTAGGAAAGCATTGCACTTAATTTAGTAACTAATTTATCCAAATGGTCCCTTTCATTCTTCATACAATGAATGTGCAAATGTCCAAATTCTATAATCGAAGAGTATCAACTTGATTAGTCATAGTACTTAATAGTAATTGTTCTCTTTTACAATTTCATTTGTCAATGGTATGTTAGACATGCAAAATCATAATGTGTAACAGGTTGTTCTGGGTGCTAGAACCAGCTGTCACTGTGCTGCATGGCTGCAAAATTGGTGACTTTTATAAAACTGCCATATGAACAATACAGATACCATAAAAAATACAACATTCTTGATTGTATTCCAAAGGGCTGAATCCATACATTCATCTTTGGCATGCTTGAAAAAGTGTGTACACCTACTCCCTTGACTGCCGTGGGTAACGGGCAGACCCGTCAGAGAGCCACCCACATGCGCAGTTTTCCATCCCGTCTTGCCAGGCCGTGTAGAGCTGGCTATAGGAGGCAAGGGTTGCACCCTGGTCAGCACATGCCTGGCTTGCCTGTTGCAAGGTGTATTCATAGTGACCCACTGGAGACCTCACTTGGAAAACTCCCCCTGAAAATACGAATAGGGTGCATTAACCAAGTGGCTGTAACAATGTACGATAAATGTAGTATGAGTTCCCTATGTTTTGTATCAAACTCAAATATGACTGGTTGACAGTGGTTGTTGATTACTGGCGGGATGTCCCATTCCATCACTTGTTGTATGTGACACTGTAAAACACTTCATGTTTTGTTATTTTATGCTTAAACCACTGGTGCTATGCACTGAAGTTGAAATTTATAATCCCTTACCTAACTTCAATGCTTCCTTCCTGTCATTGCAGAAGTCTGCTTTTAGTTTTGCTGCCAGATCACTCTGCTGGGTATTGGTACTCTGCACATGCATCAAGGTTTCCTGGAGGCTGTTGACCCGTCCCTCAAGCTCTGCCCGGATGGTTCTTTCCTGAGCCAGCTGTTCCTCAAGAGCCAATAGCCGGTCTACAGCAAGGTAACATATTAGAGATAACCATATTCACAATGTTTCCTGTTATGCTTGTTACCTTTGACACACAAAGAGTAAAACAAATTCTATCCATCTCTGTCCCCTATCTCTGTCAGTCCCATCTCTCTATATAAGACTTGCTAAGCAGAAATAAGGCTTGTTTGAAATTCATTGTGAGCATTTCGTCCAACAAATGCTTATAATAGAAATTACATCAATCTCCAATTTTAGTGATTTACTTCAACTTTGTATTGCCACTTTCACAAAATGTTTTAAGACTTCAAGATTTCAACTTTTATACTGTTGTTTTAAACACTCCTTACCTTCATATGGTTTTGGGATGTCTGCTATGGCATTTTGCAGCATGGCCCCAATCTCACAAGTGCTGAGACTGTTCTGGTCTGCAGAGCACCCACTCTGCAGGAGGCTCAGCACGAGGCAAAGATTTGCAATAGAGAACAGCATTTTTCCACTTCAACACAACCTGCACAATAGTAAACAGAACTATGAGTAAGCTTTGTTAGAAAGTATCCCACAACTGACGACAAAATTAGTTTTCCCATGCTGACAGCCTGAAATTAGGTAAACATAGGACATACATGTATTCGGAATAATGCCACATTTTACTACTGTCATCTCAGCCATACACAACCAGACTAGTAATGTTACAGATTCCTACCTTGTATGATGCTGTCTTCACGGTGGAATGCAGAAGTGTGGCTTTTCATGCAGTATTTATACCATGCAAGCATTGCACAGGGATTACATCATTATTGCAAGAAACAGGTGGTCAACTTTACTTTGGTAATTATGAGCTGACTTTCAAATAGGCAGTGTAAGGTCACCACATTCTTGATTATCAGATTTGAAACCTGAATAAATATTCAAACAGTTTCCAATATCTGTGCAAAATTAGACTTACAGGGCATCTTTAAAGACACTCAAGCAACACGTGAAAGAACAGAATATTATTTTACAAAATCACCAGCATTTTACTAGATACGTTGGAATCTTGTCCTACATTTTTATAACCACCTATGTGTGTCATGACATAGGGAAGCACAGGTATGTGAGAAAGAGTTGTGTAGACTATTATCACTACACAATTGTGTTCCTGATCAATGATGTCTCTGTGCCAGTTGAGTTGAAATTGTTCTTTGGATTTAGAAAGAAAGGAAAGAGAAACAAAGACGTTATGAATCAATGAGTAAATGCATTCGAGAATGCTTGCTAAATGTGACTTCTTATAACATTTATAGGTACAAGTTAGTGCTTTACATATACCTACAGATGAATGTATGTAATGATATTAAGGTCACAAGTGCAACCACTACAGACCATTCTTGAGCCACTAGACACAGAAAGGCCATTCATTACAAAGCAGTCAGTAATTTTGGCCAACAGATGTGAATCCTCAAAAACATATCTTATTATAACAGGAAATAATAATCAAGAAGAAAGGTCAGAGACTTCTAATTTAATTATATTTGTTAATTTTGCTTGTTTGACAGCTTGAAAGATATGTACAATGTAATTTACAACCCCTTCCCCAAAATTGATCTGACAGAAAAAAAAAATTGTTAACTTGGAAGATTGCCTAAACTTTGAGAAATCTTGTTTTTACAATAGTTCTAATGGTTGAGACGGTGATTTGAAACCTTAATAGGACTTCTTTAGATTTCTTTAGATATCGATATTTTTTTATTGGTGTATTGCATGAACGGTGTAGTAAGTATTGGTGCAAGCATCATATTGTATCTCGATGGCTGTATGTGGATGGTGTTCAGCACCAAGGACAGGAATATTCAGCTACCAAGCTGTAACAGCCATCAGACCCTAGTGTGACAACATTATATTAATTACCACTAATTACCACTTTTTTGTGTGTTTTGGTTTATTTTTCACTGCCACCGCCGGTCGCACGATGGTATTGATCTCACATAGACGTTCCAGTATCACATAGAAGTAGAAGGCTGGAAGGTGTTCAGCACCAAGGATAGGAATGTTCATACTTAGTATAGCTTACTAGGGTTGTTGTCTGTCTGTTAAGAATTTGGTGCTACTAAGTATTTGAGCATGTCATCAGTTTCTCCATCTATACTAATATTGTGCGCTTAATACATACGAAAGACATAAGAATTTGCTATGCGCAGAAGGTTTTCAGCACCATGGAACGTTGGTTGTTAGTGGATGGCGTTCAGCACCAAGGACAGTCACGTTTGGCTGTGCGTGAATGGTGGTCAAAGTGCACTACATGTAACGCTATCTGGTTACGTTTTCAACATGTCATACTTTTCCCCTTCGATGATAGCGTTGACTAGGGTATTCTTCCCGTTTAGCACGACACAGTTGCTGTTTTAGCGTCACAAACAGAAAGAAAGAAGGATGAAATACAATCAGCTCCATCGAGAACTGATTACGTTATCTTACTCAAGTTACTGAGCACAGCTGCGTTAGCTAACGACCAACACATGTGATTACCCATGGACACGTGCGAGCACACGAAGTCCAAGATGGCGACGGAACATCGGTGTGAAGAAACTGCTCCTGAAACTTCGCCCCTGGAAGACGAGAAACGCCAGTTTTAGGTGCTGAGAGGTACGTAACTATGTTCGTTGTATTCTTGTGAACATTTTTTGTGGAAACTTTTGTGAAAACAAGAAGTAATTCCGAAGAAATATGACCGAGTTTCTTAACCAGTGTGTGGTATGACGTGCTTTACTCTGGGGGCACACGTTAATTAACTTTTTAAAGCAACAAGGAATTTGTCACTGTAAGACGAGAAACGTCTGTTTTAGGTAGTCAGAGGTACGTAACTTTGTTCGTTGTATTCTTGTGAACATTTTCTGTGGAAACTGTTGTGAAAATACGGAGTAAAACCGCTGAAATATGACTTAGTTTCTTGGTCATTGTGGCGGGGCATGGCATACTTACGCCTGCACATTTGAGTTTGATTTGCATAATAATATGATAAACAACAAGGAAAGTAACTGGAAGACGAAAAACGCCTGTTTTAGGTGGTGATGTTTGCGTAACTTTGTTCGTTGTATTCTTGTGAACATTTTTTGTGGAAACTTTTGTGGAAATACGGAGTAAAACCGCAGAAATATGACTTAGTTTCTTGGTCATTGTGGCGGGGCATGGCATACTCACACCTGCACATTTGAGTTAGATTGATTTGCATAATTAGCCTAATGATAAATAACAAGGAAAGTAACACGTGGCGTACTCGAGGGCACACTTGAGCTAGCTTTATTTAAGTTTTTTATGTACAGCAATGAAACGAAACATTACATGATAATCATGCAGTATTATTTTTAATTTTTGTATTATTTTTGTTTCAACATTTGATACTAGCAGCTGATTGTTAATAAGATTACAGAACTGTCAGTGGTATTTCATCCTTGTTCAGATGCAGCATTGCCTTGCCTAATATTATGTTGTTTTTGTACATGTGTATATTTCCCAACATAATTTTTTCCTGCATGTTGTCAATATGAAATGTGTGCTAAAATGGTATCAGAATAGTTTTGATGTGATATGAGAAATATATTTTATGTGATAAGAGATTCGAACTGTTCTTTCCTCAGATATTTTGATGTTTACATTCCCTGAACGTGAATTTGTCTGATTGAACTGTCTCATATTTTATACCCTGTTCATTATGACATATGCTGCATTAGTTTGTTGACTATCATTACTGATATGATGGTTACATGTATGTAGCGGGCAATGTTTGAGGTTATGTGAGATGTATTTTTTACAAGTGTTGTTTGGTCATGTTCTTTTGACTGAATGTTGACTGCTCTTCTTTTGTCCCATTAACAAAGCATATGTAGCCTGGGTGGCATCCAATTTGTAACGGCAACCCTGAAAAAGCATAATATGCTCTTGCCTCAGACAAAAACGTTTTTAGAACTTAAACAAATGCTGTGCATATTAAGTGCATGTTCTTTGCAATTGAATATTGTTGTTGTATGTAAATTTAGCCTGTGATTTCTCTGAAGGTGTGTTTCTTTTACATCCTAGGTTTTCCAGGAGGATCTGCCATCTATCCTGTGTACCAGTCAGCTATCCTGTGTACCTGTCCATAGTCGTCGGATCTGCCTGTCTTTTTGAGGGACCTGTCACGTATCTATGAGACAATGCTCTTGTCTCCGACAAAAATAAAAAAAAGAATTTTAACAAATGTTGTGAATATTAAATGCATGTTCTTTGAATATTGCTGTTGTATGTATCGGTAAATTTAGCCTGTGATTTCTCTGAAGATGTGTTTCTTTTACATCCTAGGTTTTCCAGGAGGATCTGCCAGCTATCCTGTGTACCTGTTTCCAGGAGGATCTTCCTGTGTTTCTGAGGGACCTGTCGCGTATCTATGAGACAATGCTCTTGCCTCTGACAAAAAACAGAACTGAAACAAATGCTATGAATATTAAATGCACATTCTTTGAATATTGTTGTTGTATGTAAATTTAACCCATGATTTCTCTGACCGTGTGTTTCTTTTGTACCCTAGGTTTTCCAGGAGGATCTGTCAGCTATCCTGTCTACCGGTCAGCCATCCTGTCTACCTGTCAGCCATCCTGTCTACCTGTCAGCCATCGTGTCTACCTGTCAGCTATCCTGTCTACCTGTCCATAGTCCAGAAGATCTCCCTGTGAATGAGTGTGATTCTGAGGGACCTGTCACGTATCTACGAGACAAGAGAACATCAGACTTACACGGTTTCTTTTTTTTTTTGGAACTCTTTCAAAAATGAGGATCTGCATGCCGCAAAGCGTTATGTCATACATTCAAATTTTGCGCAATTCAAAGCTGCGTCTCTGAATTTTAAACGTTATCTCTGCATTATGCGTAACACATCCAAACAGTACAATAGAAGCAGGTCATTGCTTTTCACAATTTTGCATACTTCACAGTCGTGCAACTCTGATTTAATGTCATGCAATCTACGTGTTCAGTACTTTGCCATTTGAATTTAAGTTTGCATAATTTGAAGTAAATCATGGCCGCTGCATTCTGCAATTTAGTGTAAAGCGTGATAGGGACCTTACATGCAGACCCCTAAAAATGACAATGAAAGATGTTGGGAAAGGGTTTGTTTGCGATCCTCTAAATTTTTATTTCCAAAAAACACCATTGTTGAAACTAGCCCTCCCTACTATTTGTTGTCATTTCTGAAAGAGACTGTCACATTTCTTACTAATATCTAGTTTAAGGTTGTGACTAATATCTTATTGCTGATATGTTGGAGAACACAGTACATTTTCCTCTAGAGGAGAGCACTTGCAATATTGCCTGTTATTTTGATCTGTATAGCAATAGGATATATTTTCAAATGCATTGTGATCAAACTGTTTTCCCTGATATCTTCTTCATCATGATCCACAATCTCCATCATAATCCACAATTTCCAATAACTCAATAACCCGAAAGTCATTCAAAAATCTTTTCTGAAATGAAAA